TCGAGTCTACGAGAAATGCGCAGGATGCTCCGAGATCTACAGGACACTCGACGTACCTTTGGTAGATCCGACGGACCAATCAATGTAGGGATAAATCAATGCTGTATTCGATCCCCTAGTCGAATATCGAAAAGCCAGGCGGATGGACGCAAGAGGGAAGCGGCGAGGGGTCCTGTGCCCTCCCCTCCCGTCGCCTCCCTTCGGCTGCGCGCAGTTGTGACCCTAGGCAAGGGGAACCTTGAGCGCGCGGCTCGGCGATCGCTGCATAATAGCGGCATGCGTACACGGGTTTGCCCCCCCCCCGCCCCCCGCAAATCGGACACCAAAAGTCACTCCAGCGAAGACCACTCGGTTCCAGGGATGTAAATCACGTCACTCGCGGCCGTCCGGGACGACTCGGGGATCCCAGGAACGTTCTAAGCGAGGCGCAACTGCTGGAACGCATGCCGAAGCGGGAAGACCTCCAAGAACAGACGACGACGTCAGACAATACTGCGAAATGCCACCCAAACGAAGGTTGGACGCCCGAATTATCTGGAATAACTGCGGCCTGGGGTAATTGCGGTCTGGCCTCCCGAGGCGCGAACCCGTAGCTACCCCTAGTGACCATATTTATCCTTTCCCGGGTAACGGACGGTCATTACCCGCGGGGGGGTTGGTCGGGCGGGAGGGTGACGGTAACGGCGGCCGTCGCGTGCACACGCCAGGGTGTGTCCACGCCACCGGCGCATCAGTCGTCTGTGTGCACCACAGCATGTAGGGGGGGTCCAAGTCAGCCCCACCCAGTACGATCGTTAGCGCTACCCGGGGGAAGGGGTGGCCCGGGTAACGAGTGACCTTGGGGCCTTGGGGGGAGAAGAAGGCTCACCTGACAGCTCCCAGCCCAGATAATTCAGGAGGGTTGGAAGCCCGAATAATCCAGGATGACTGCGGTCTGAGGTACAACTCCGGTTTGGGCCCCCGGGAAGCGAATCCGTAGTTACCCATGGCCATCCCCATCCCTGATGATTCGGAGCTCTGAGAAGGGGCATACAGTCAACCCGCATAGCAGGGATGAGCGACTGATTTTCCAAGGCTACCCTTGCATACCTCCTCTTCGGCCCATCCTTGGCCGCTGTCGCTGCCCGCAACCCGCTCGCAAAGTGTCCGCATGGCCTTCCAAGGCCCTTGCATCCTTATCGTGCGTCCTTATTATACGGGTCGACTGCACGTGTGGCCGATCCAGCGTGTCCGATCCCCATGCGGCAGGCTCGTGTCGTGTCGACACTGGCGTTGGTTCTTGACACCGCGGGGATCGTTCAACTTGAACTATCGGCCGCTTCCGAAACGTCGGGTCGTGCAATATCGAACGATTCTGGGTCGCTGGTGGCGTTCAACGTTGAACGCCGGCGGCAGGGTCACCGCCAATCGACATGGCACGAAGCTACCGTACTAGATGCCTCCTAGATGGTGTAATTAGGAGTGGATGAGGTCGAAGGATCGCGCCGCATTGCCCATACATCGGCGATGCATCGCCGATGCATGGGCGACATCGGCGATGCATCGGCGACGCTAGCGTGGAGGAGAACTTCGGGCTCCACGTCGAGCCGCCTCGCCGATGCATCGTCGATGCGGCGCGATCCTCCGACACCATCTACTCGGACCCCATCTATCGAGGGCGCGCAAACATGGATTGGCGATCCATGGATTTTGCGCGCGGCCGCCAAATCCATGGATCGGGGGAGGTGCCCTCCCCCAAAATGCGGCCGGTCTCGCCTCGCTCGGCGGCGGAAATCCGCGATGTCCCACGGACACGGGACCCGTCGCTGGTCCACGCCCCCTTTCATCCGTGCTTGCGATCGCCTGATGGCCTCGGGCCCCATCCAGGAGGCCCAGACGTGCGCAGTCTCCCCGTCTGCCCGGCGGGCGCCAGGCGGGGGCCGCGGCCCTGTCGTCGCCGCGGTCGTCGTCCCCGCACGGCAGCACGTTCACCGCGAGGCGGCTCTTGCGGGAGCTGGCGGGCTCCTGGGCACGGCGGCGGCGGCGGCGGGAGGCGCCGGGAAGACGAGGAGAACGGAGGACGAGGACGACCACGAGGATCGAGGTCCTCGGGCGACGACGACGGCGACGACGAGCACGACTGCGGCTCCCTGATAGGTTTTCCAGCCTGGGGGTGCTCTCCAGCAGCCGCGCCTCGAGGAGAGTGTTCCCGGGGGGGCCAGGCGGCCGCTGGAGACCCCAGGCTTCTGACCCCTAAGACAGACCTCCTCCCGTTGCGAAGCAAACGCGACAAAGTGTGTGTGTGTGTGTGTTGTGCGTGTGTGTGTGTGTGTTGTGTGTTGTGTATTGTGTGTTGTGTGTGTATGTTGTGTGTGTGTTATTTCTGTTTGTGTGTTTCGTGTGTGAGTGTTGTGTGTGAGTGTTGTGTGTGCTTGTGTGTGTGTGTGTTTTGTGTTTGTGTGTGTGTTGTGTGTGTGTGTGTGTTTTGTATGTGTGTGTGTGTTTTGTGTGTGTTGTGTTGTGTGTGTTGTGTGTATGTGTGTGTGTTTTGTGTGTGGTGTGCTCGTGTGTGTTGTGTGTTGTGTGTGTGCTGTATGTGTGTGTGCGTGTGTGCGCGTGCACGGCTCGCCGCGGCAGGTCGCCTGGTCGCCTGGCCTCTGGCGGCCCCGGGTCGGTCTGCAGCCTTCACTTTCACTGACTGTCCCGCCTTCCTGTCATCTCGTCCTGGCCTCCAACCACACTGTGCACCCTCTTATCGCCCTCCGGCCTCTCCCTGCACCCTCTGCACCCCCGCTGCACACGCCCAGGTATGCGTGTGGCGTCGTCGATCCAATGGGATCCCTGCTCTTCTTCTGAGGGGCTGGCCGCGCGCACGCGCTCTTCTCGCTTGGGGACTTTCTCGCGTCGCTGCGCGCGAGGTCACGACCGCCAAAAAATATGGGCGTTTGTGTGCGTGTGCGTGCCCGACGTTAGACTTCGGGAGGTCCTCACCAGAGACTGACTCGGGATGGGAGACCAGTCCCTGGGAGACCAGTCCCTGGGAGAAAGCCCAGACCTTTGGAGGTCCACGAATCACGACGTCCGAGGTCTGGGGCCAGCGGCGCGCGCACGAGGGGGTGGTGCGAAGAAGGCAGCCTTCCAAGCAGGGGGGTTCTTCGCTGGAAGGGGCCTTCTTGGAAGGACCAGGTCGCTTCGAATGAGGTTCCGTGCAAGCCATGGGGGATTCTAAAACGCCCCCTTATGCCTGCTAAGAACCCAGTGCGAGGGGGACCACCTTCCAAGAAGGGTGCTTCTTAGCTGGAAGGGGCCTGCTTAGATGGACTATGCGTAACCCCATGAGGTTTCGTGCAGGTCCTGAGGGATTCCAACAAGCCCCCCGATGCCAGATCAAGGACAAAAGAACATCCTTCAAGAACATGAGGTCCTTCGCCGGCCAAAACACGCAGAACATCCAGGGGTAGCCAGCCCCAGGATACACAAGAACATTCAGCAAACACCAAGAACCCCAGGGTACCATCCCCGAACCGACCTCGACCTTAGACCTCGGTCCGACTGAACTAAGAGCCCCCCCCCTTCCAGTCTTAGATCTTAGAGGGCCGCCCCCCCGCGTCAGCCCCTTGCCCGTTCCGCCAAGACGACGAGAGGGACCAAAACCCCACACGCCATCCTGTGGTAAGACGAAGCCAAGACGAGGCTAAGACCAGGTGAGGTTGAATCGAACATCTCTGAGATCTGGCGGCTCTGGAGGATGTATCGGGCGCCGCGGCCTTCTCAGAGCGTTCCGGAACGCTCTGCATGAGAGCGTTCCGGAACGCTCTGGAAAGGATTCATCCTCGTCCTAGCCCCGTCCGATGCGGCTAAAAAAACAACGGGTCGACCGCGATAGAACAATTAGATTCGAGCCGGGGCGGGATGTTGGTCTGGATGGGACACGCTGCGGCCAGCCGCGATGAGAACGGGCGTTAGGCCACCAGGAAGGAAGACGACTGGCACGAAAGACCCGCTCTGGTACAGCGGAGGGCTGGGACCAACAGGGGCACAAGCAGGATGAGATCGGTGTGAGAGGCGTGCGGGGCCGCCCTCTCGTGGGAAAGAACATGCGACGGGGAGTACATTTTGCGGGAGGGAGGGGATCCTGTGGAGGGGGGGGAAGCTTTCCAACAAATCGCACGCACGCGCAAAACACATTGTCCCTGCCCGCCTCCGAAACAACGTGATCCCACCGACCACGCGGAATGTTCCCTGGCGCGAGGCTGCAATCCCACCAGCCCTCTGGGCGTAGCTCACTCAACGAGATTGTTTTGTCCAACATCCTTCTTCCCCTTCGCCGAAGGGTTTTACCCCTTCTCCTTCCCCACCCCTGGCGAACGGCAGGGGCAGAGCAATACCGTCCATGCGACGTCACAGGCAACTCAAGAGAAGTCCTGACCAGGGAACGGGTGGCGCCACCCTGGGAGCACAAAAAATCTGGACGAAGGTGGACATGGGAGGGATCCAACCTCAGTGCAAGTGGTCAGGGCTGAGACAGCTGGCAGGGGACAGAACGAACTGGAAATAGTGCGCACATGCGCGGAAGGTCTACGAAAACCTGACGAAGATGGACAAGAACTAAGGGATGGCCCATGCCGCTCTGACCGGCTTCCCCGCCATGGCATTAACTTTGGTCCGACAATACTTCGAAGCTTAGCGAGGCATGCTGGGACCCTAGGACTCCTGGGTTTCATCCTGGTCTGCATCTCCGCGGAGCGCACAAACTCCTGAGGGCACCTGCGATAGTCTTCTGACGATTGCATCTTTGAAGGCGAGGTGTCGACACTGCACCACCGAGGTCTTGAGCAGGGTGCAGATCAGCCCTGCTTGCAGCACACTTATGAAGCCGACCGAAATATCGAACAATGCGGAAAACGACTGCACTCGCTGCGGCCATGACGCTGGAAGCGACGAGCACGCATCGCAGAGACAGTCAAAAATGTCTGGCGCGCGCCACCCGGTCTATTTGGTCGCTGTTCCAAACGATAGCCTCATGCTTGTCGAAGCCGGAACTGCCGATTACCTGCAACATCCGCCACCGCTCTGTGGTGCGGCTCGAGTGCCAGGCCGCCCGCTTGCTCACTGCTGCTACCTCTCACCAAAGCAAGTAACCAAACAACAATTTTCCCGTGTTCGGCCTCCGGGGCCCTCGCCGGGCCCAGGGAGCGCCCAAAAACGAAGTGTCCGGGATGAGCCCCGAGCGCTGGGCCCGAAGAGTCCAGGGGCCGGATGCCAGACGGGCAGAGGTCCTGTGGACGCCTGACTGGCACGATAAGCAGACCGACTCCCGCCGAGCCCTTCGGGCATGCAGCCAGGCGCGCGCGCACGCGCGTGGCTGGTACTGATGCTTCCGATTCGCCCGCTCCGTTCTCACAACAAGCACTGTCCCCCACCACGTCACACAACGACATCAACACCAGTCGATTTCAGATACGGCCGGGTACTTCTTCTCAGCGTGTCGCGGCGGCGGCTCCGGCGACACGCTAAACCCGTGCGAGCGGATAGCGAGTCGCTCTGCTCTGCGGGGCGGGAGGCTGCGAGAAGCTCGGGACGCTGACGCTTGGAGATCGCGACATGGTTTAGCGCGTCGCGCCGAAGCGCGGTGAAGCAGAACCGCCGACGAGACACGCTAAGCCAGCATTCCCCACCGTAGCGACTGTTCTGGCAGGGAGGTCCGGCCATTCCCCACCGTATAAGCGGATATCCTGGTAGACCCTACCAGTGTCCCCTCTGCCTCCCCAGCCCTCAGCCTCACGCCCCCACGAGAACGTTGGCGGACGTGCGCCGCAGCGCAAGTGGATATGGTAAAGTCCAGCAGTGGAGCCCTCAAACCCATACTTCACCAGGATAGGTGCCTGAATCTTGAGGAATAGCTCCGCCTTCGTCTTGGCTAACTCGGCCTTCGTGACGGAGGCCCTCTCTGCAATCAACGATCTCAGCTCGCGCTGGAACTCGGGCGCCGCGAAGCCCCACATGAGCTCCTCCTGGAGTGACAGGGCCTTATCGAGTGTGAAGGCGTCCGCCGCCGACAACTCTTGCCTCACGAGGAGCTCCCGGCCCGACAGCGAGAGGCTGACCCAACCCTCCTCGGGCCCGGCGCCCGTGAGCTTCCGGTAGTGCAGGCGCTCGCCAACGACCTCGACCTCCTCCACCACCGCACCGAGACCGAGTCGTTCTGGGAGCTGCTCCTCGGCTGCGCGCAAGGAGTGGCCCCGGCAAGAACGATCTTTGGCGCGAGGCTTGCGGAGACCGATGGGAGGGCCCCAGTCGGCCTGCATCACGCCCAGACGCTGGGCGCTAGGACTTTTTCGCTGCATGGGCTCGCGGACCCCGTCGGGGTCCGCAACCGGTCTCCGAAGATGCCGAAAACGGCGACAGACCAGCCGCTCCGATTTGCTCAAGGCGCTGGATGTCTAGGAAGGAAGGTCACTCCCAGCACGTGGTATGTTCGTACCAGATGTTCCCCATGGTTTGAACCTTTTCCACCGGCCTGGTTCTTAATCCCGAATCGTTCATTGACCATCCCGTGGTCATGTGAAGGCCTCCGCTTCCGCAGCCGGCGCCGCCGTATCCCTTGCCCAAGGGCCCGCCACCTCTTACAAGAACCGACTGGCGGTGAACGTAGCCGTGGTCCTCGTCGTCGTCGTCGTCGTCCTCGTCGTCCTCTTCGTCGTCCTCGTCGTCGTCCTCGTCGTCGTCGTTGTCCTCGTCCTCGTCGTCGTCGTCGTCCACGCTTGCGCGCAGCCGGAGCTCCGTGGTGGTGGCCCTGCCCACCCTCGCGAGGATGCCGCCAGCGTGGCCCCCGCCGACCACCCTCCAGCGGGGCGGCGGGGGCCCCGGCAGCGGAGGCCGGGGCGCGGGGGTCGGCGTGAGCCACTCCTCCCGGGGGGCTCTCACAGGTGCCCGGCGAAACGAAACGGGCCTTACTAGGATCAGACGTAAGAGAGCAGAAAGTCCACCCCCATAACAAGCACCCCGACATGCGAGGCCGTCTAGTAAACGTAAGGAATCGAACAGTGCAGGGCTGTTTCCTAAACACCCAGGTCCGTTTCGTAAGCGCCAATTGCCGGAGTCGGGGTGGTTTCCCCCCTCTCGATAAATGGCACAACGAAAAATTGCAGATCAATTAATTCCTCGGAGGTCCCCCAAAAAACCCAGGTCGGCGAGGGACGAGCCATGGCATGAAGCATATAAGGCCTTGGAGCTCCGAAAAACTCCCGGATCGGCGAGGAACGAAAGACTTGGTATGATCTCACTCCCGTGGAGGCCCGAAACATCCCAGGTCGGCGGGGGACCGAGACATGGCACAAAGCAGAATCCCTCGGAGGCCCGAGCGGATCTCTTGGAGGTCCGCGCCGGGCCGCCCCCTCCCTGGCGCGCGGAGGGGGCCGCCAGGGGCCCAGCGCCGGGGCCCAGCGCCAGGGCGGCCCCAGCGCCGACCCGAGAAGTCTGCGCGGAGCGTCGAAGGCTTACAGTCGGACCACGACTGTCGGAGATCTGGGGCTGGCAGGGCGCCCACGACGAGGGGCTGGTGCGAAGGGGGCGGCCTTCCAAGAAGGGGGCTTCTTAGCAGGGAGGGGCCTTCTTGGCAGGACCAGGTGCCCTCTAACGATGTTTCGTGCCAGTCGGGAGGGGTTCTAACAAGCCCCCCAATGCCTACAGCCCGACCTAGGCCAGAAGCACATCCTAGTGTCGGCCAAAACAAGCAGAGCGTCAAAGGGTCCCCTCTCCAGGGTGCACAAGAGCATCCATCAAGCACGAAGAGCACTAGGGTACCCTCCCCGAACAAGCCTCGATCTTATACCTCGGTCCGACTGTAGCGACCTTGCACGGTGACTTACGCGGGCCGCCAGCGCGGCACGCTATACACTGGAAACGAGGGCGCTCACTCGCGACCTTACGCGGAGAGCTTGCGCGCGAATGTCGGCGCAGACGACCCCGTTTGTCTGCGCTGCTCAGGTGTTCCCAGATCTCCGAGGAATTGATTTGTTCAATGCTGGCGCTTTTCTTTGATTTCGGCCTCTGGGTTCGGTTAGCGGACGCCAGGACCATCAATAACGGAACAGGGACGAAGAGCCAACCCTCGGGAGCTCCAGGGCAGCAGACAGAACAGACCATATTGGAGGCCGTGGTGGCTAGAAATCCTGGGGGCAGCTCGGGATGGGGACGCCTGTGGCACCACCCGAACTCCTAGACGTCCGACGATGCTGCTCTGGGCCCGCGGCCCCAGAACTCCCGACTGCTTCCCCCCGTGTGCCTCCACGTCCCGGACACACTTCTGAGATGGCTCATGTGTGGCTCCATGTGACGTCCCCGGGACCCAAGCAAAACGGCCCCGAGGGGGCCAAGCGAAGGAAAAGCGCCTCGCTTCAAGAATTACTCACTGCGTGGAGCTCCCCATATGTGCATCTCGTGTTATATGTCATGCCATAGTGAGCGTCTGTTCATGAGCGTCCTACCCCCTGGCGGCTCCCCTTAGGGGTGCTGAAACCAGCGCCCCGCCTCAGACATCCTCAAAACCTCCTATGAAAACCAAAGATGTTGAGCATGAAAACGAACAAACCGCCTGAGACATCACCACAACACGGCGCGAATGGGCCCGTGCAAACACCCCTGGCGGCTCCCCTTAGGGGTGCTGAAACCAGCGCCCCGCCTGAGACATCCTCACAACCTGCTCTGAACGCAGAAGATGTTGAGCATGAAAACAAGCAAACCGCTTGAGACATCCCCACAAAGTGGCCGCGAACGGGCCAATGCAAACACCCCTGGCGGCTCCCCTTAGGGGTGCTGAAACGAGCGCCCCGCCTCAGACATCCTCACAATCTGCTCTCCAAGCGAAGGATGTTGAGCATGAAAACAGACAATCCGCTTGAGACATCCCCACAAAACGGCCGCGACCGGGCCCGTGCACCCCCCCCTGGCTGCTCCCCTTAGGGGTGCTGAAACCAGCGCCCCGCCTGAGACATCCTCCAAATCTGATGTGTGTTGAGTAAGTCAGACTAAGAAAAGGTCTTAGTATGCGTTGGGTATGAGTATGGGTAAGTAGGTGCATGAGTACGTCTGGGTATGAGTAAGTCTGAGTATGAGTAAGTCTGTGTATGAGAACATCTGTGTATGAGCAAGCCTGGGTATGAGTCAGTCTGAGTATGAGTGAGTGCGAGTAGGAGGAGACGAGAAGAGGAGGGGACGAGAAGAGGAAGGAGGAGGAGGAGGAGTAGGAGGCGTCCAAGTAATAACAAGAACCCCATCTTAGGATAGCGAGACTGAATATGAGTAAGTCTGAGCATGACTTGGTCTGAGTATGAATGAATCTGATCATGAGAAAGTCTGAGTATGCCAGTATGCCTAGGTCTGAGTATAATGAGTCTGAGAAAGAGTAAGTCTGTGCATGAGTAAGTTTGAGGAGGAAGAGAAGAAGGAGGAGGAGAGAGGAGAGGAGAGATTCTGGTTCTGGTTGGAGTCGGCGCCGTCCAAGTAATAACAAGAACCCCATCTTAGGATATGGGGAAAAGCATCATTCGGAGGTCTGGGCCTGTGTTCGCGGCGCGACCAGGAGGGAACCTGAGGGGCGGAAGGCCTTCTCGGAAGGCGGCGGGGCTTCTCCGCAGCACTCGCGCCTTCCGAGATGTCCCCTGTGGCTTGGGAGCACGCCGAGAAAGCTCTTCAGAAGGCCGGAGGCCTTTTGGAGATACACGGCGTCTCGACTTTTTCGAGACACGGGCCTGTATTTCATCCTGAGTCTGATGTTCTCGGCCACGAGGCCTGGCATAAGGGCCCCGAGAGGCCGAACACTGTGAAAAACCTCCGTCCCGATTCTCTCGAGACGCCGGATGTCTGGGTTCCGCACTAGGCGCACCGCTGATGTTGTGGACGCCCGACATGGGCACGCCACCAATGGGTACGATGCCAAACAAGAGATGTTGCCGATGTAGCTCTCAAATTCGGTGGGAATATACGTCGTTTCCGTCGGCTTTCGCGGGGTGTATCCCCAACTGGGAGGCTGAGATGGTGGGGGTGCGAATGGGGATGGAGGTAATGGGGGTACTGAGTACTGGGGATAATGGGGATAGGGTTTGTCGATGAATCTGCGTGGGAAGCAGCAGAGCGCGAGAAGAAATCGCTTAGCAAAGCGCCGGTGACACGAGACTCACGAACTCCTCGTCCTCCGCGGATCCGCCTGGCCCCTCTGCAGGCTGCACCCGCGGGGGCCCGGCCTTGTGCGGCGCGCACAAGGGGGTGGAGGGAGTGGGGAGGGCTTCTCAGGAGGCTGCTTCTTGGAAGGCGCCGGCCTTACATCTATAGAGAAGGCCCGCGCCTTCTAAGAAGCAGGGATGCTTCTAAGCAGCCCTCCCCCCTCCCCCCGCCCCCCTCTGCGCGTGGCTGACCGCGGCCCCGGCGGCCTCCGCGCCGGCGCCGGCGCCGGCGGCCCGGCGCTCCGCCGCAAGCTCCTCCTGCTGCCTCTGCCTGTTCGTCGGGAGCGCCCGACCCAGACCCCCTCGAGCCCTGAGGAGAACCACGACGGAAGGTTTGTCGCCTCGGTGCTGCGAAATTCAGCTGCTGCCGCCGAGTCCTGAAGGACTGGATTCGGGATCTCGGGTCCACCGTGCTGGAATCACGACAAATCCTCGAGACCTGAAAAAAATCACGACGGTTCGGCCTCTGGGGGCCCTGACCGGGCCTCGGGGCCGCCAAGAAGCGACTGGGGATGAAAGACGGTCCCAGGGAACGGGTCGAGACCTATTGAGGTGGACGTTGCGATGAAGCATGCCGTCGGGGGTCTGGGAAGAGGGGGGCGTCCACTGGGGTGGTTCTCCAAGCTTGGCCCGAGGTATGTGCGCGGCCCAGGGGGGGGCCCAGGGGGACGCATGAAACTAACAAGAAGCGCCACGAGATCTGGGGAGATATCATGGCCCTGGCCATGACATCCCGCCCCCCCCGCAGTCATCACCTCCGCCTGGTCATCGCCACTCCCAGTCATCACCTCTGCCTGGTCATCGCCCCTCCCAGTCATCACCCCCCTCTTGGTTGCCCAAATCTCCGACGATACGATTTCTTTTATTGGGGCCGTTAGGTTCTGCACTCCTAGACTTAAGCATACTTGCTAGACTTCTTCATCTCTGTTCTCGTTAGATGTCAACAAATGGGGGGCGTTACCGGACCCAGGGCGAAAGACGACCCCCGGGGAAGAGGTCGGGATCTCTTGGGGCCGCAGACTGAAGAAACAGTTCGTCAATCCGATGTTCTTGGAGGCCTGGAAATGGGCACCAACACCAACACAGGGGTTTGCCTCCACAGGGGGAAGATGATCCTGGATTTCGGTGTTGGCGGTAATATTTCGGTCACCTTGGAAGCCAGAATATTACCACCATCACCGAGATCGGGAGCCTCTTCCCTCGGTGGAGGCACACCGCCGCTAGTGGTGTTGGTGTCAACCTCTGGGCCTGTCATGTTCCGGATATTGGATCTCTTCCTCTCTTTCGGCATACCGTGCAGCTTGAGCAGGGAGGGCGCGCGAGAGAACACGAGGCCATTTCCGAAGGCCACACTGCCCCAGGCATGCAGGGAGGACCTGGGGCGCGAAACGCAGGGCACACAGGCGCCTTCGATCTGCAAGGGTCGACCCACTAATCATTATCGACTGCATTGGTCAGAGGCGACGAAAGGGGCGAATAGCCCAGGGGAGAGCAAAACATGTATCCAGGGGCGCCGATGATCTATGTCTTCGACAAGGCTCCCGGGCGAATACGTGTAATGCCCGCCCCTGGGATATTCGCCCTTATCGTCGCCGCGGGGCCGTCATCGGGCCCTGGGACCACCAAAATCGGACTCTGGACGAAAAGGCGACCCCCGGGAAGGGGGTCGGGACCTCTTGAGGCGGCGGACTGAGGGAACGGACAGTCGACTGTCTGGGCTGAGGAGGCAGCTCCTGGGAGGCCTCCCGAGCGGCGCAAACATCCATACCCGTACCCTCGTGTTCTGGATTCCAGTCGGTGGCGAGCCCGGGGGGAAGTGAGAAGGGGCGGGACTTCTCAGGAGGCTCGAAGGTCCCCTGGGCCTGCCGAGAAGTTCTCCGAGCCCTCCCCGAGGCGAGGCGAGGCGACTCCCAATTCGCCCGTGAGGGCGGCCGCGCGCGGGGCTGGGAGTGGGCGCCGGGGCGCCGCTCATTCAGTCAAGGGTAGACCTGTCTCTGTTTGTACGGTGCACATAATCGTCCTCCACTTGTGACCAAAGTTGCTGCCCGACGTAAGTGTTTGCCAATTTAGCCCCACGTGTTGTGTGAATAAACTCTGCCACATCATCGATCCATCTGCTGTGAGGTCGATGTGGTAATCGCTTTGCACGTGTATTTGTGTTGGTAGGGTCCCAAAATCAAGCTTTTTGGCCCCACTTCCCTCTGTCATCGCACACAACCTCCCCGAGGACACCGAACACAAACTTCTCAGGAGGCTGGAGGGCTTCTGAGCAGCCCCGACGCCGTCAGACAAGGCACTCTCCTTCTCTAGAGGCCTCCCAGATGGGGTCCGAGAAGAAGGGGTCGAAGGATCGCGCCGCATCGCCAGTGCATCGCCGATGTATCGGCGATGCATCGGCGATGCATCGGCGACGTCGGCGAGGCATCGGCGACGTCGTTGTGGAGAAACACGGGCTCCACATCGAGCCAGATCGGCGATGCATCGGCAATGCGGCGCGATCCTGCGACCCCCTTATACTCCGACCCCATCAGCAGGCCTGGAATCTCACCTCCCCCCGTCGCTCGCCGCCAACCCGAGGCGCGATCCCACGGACACGCACGTGCCGCGCGGGGTGCCTGCGCTGAGTGGGCCCGCATCCTTGGGGTCGCGGCCGGGGAGCCCGGCCCGCGAGGCCGTGGATGTGGAATCCACGTGCGAACGGTCAAGGGTCAAGAGCTGTATATGTAAGCTCCTTCACAGATCAAGTTTGACATCGGGGGATAGGGGATCCCAGATCCACGTGGGATCATCCTTGTTACAGAGCAAATGAGCTCCAACTCAACACTGCACAATCTCAACTGTCATGCGATTCATAGGGTATCCAGGCAAACATTCGAAGAGGCGCCAGGCAAACATTCAAAGAATCACCAAACAAATGGAACGATGAAGGGCGGCTATGCAGGAATACGAAGACATTGCGCCGGATTGGGCCCAAATCAGCTGAGGATTCAGCCAGATTGCCTGGGATCAAACAAGATTGAACGGCTCTGGGCCTGGATTGTGGCGACTTTCGACCGCGGATGTATCAGTGCCGACGTCGAATTCAACCTCCCAATCATTGCAACCGAGGTCTGCCTCTCAAGCTGGGCACCCCCGCTGCTCTCCAACAGCGCCCTCCTCCTCTCGGCTGCACGCGAGGAGAGATTCCCAGGGCAGGAGTGGCCCTGACAATCCAGGCGTGAGAGAAGTGCACCCTGCAGGGTCTACACACCAGGATAGATATGCCTAAGCATCCCGGCAGGACAGAGAGCCTGCTGTGCGTTGTTTGCCGATCGTTGCGTGCGGAACGACGCGACCTGCGATCCTGGGTCTGTTCTTGCGAGGCGCACAGGGCACTACGTGGGAGGGGGAAAGGCTTCTTCGAAGGAGGCTGCTTCTTCGAAAGTGCTGGCCTTAGCTCTGTAGATAAGGCCCGCGCCTTAAGCAGGGCTGCTTCTAAGAGATCTTCCCCCCTCCCCCTACCCCCCCGCTGCGCGTGGCTGATTGCTTGCCCCCGCCCCCTGCACCCCCCGAACGCCGCTCACCAAAGGCCACTCCGGCGAAGGGCCTCTCTTGCCGTGTGGCCTGTCCTCCCCTCCACGGCACCCAGGTACTCGAACTCGAGCACGTGGTCCCGCAGGATCTGCTCCTCGAGGGTACAAGCGCTGCGCAAACTTGCATCGAAGGTCCGCGCACATTGCGCGCCAGGGGTGGCGCCAGAGGCGCCGCCAGGGGCGTCCAGCGCCGACCCAAGAAATCCGAGCGGGCCTCCGAAAGTGTATGACGATGCAATTTGCCAGCCAGCCTCGAACTCATCCCCATCCCTACGAACGGGTTGATGCTTTCCATGAGCGGCAACAAAATCCAGACACGTTCCTCGGGGCCAAACTTGCAGTCAGAATTACTTGTTAATGCTCTTGGGGCCCGACAACGTGCCCCGGAGGCCGAAATCGAGGAAGACAATGGAATTGAACAAAACTTAGATCGTCGGAGGTCAGGGGTGCTTCACGCTGGCAGTTTCCCTACGAGCGTCTCGCTTGCATGTGATAAACATACAAAGAGACCACAGAAGAGTCCCACAAAAAAAGCGGGGAACCCTAGACCGCCCGGCCCAGCAACCGTCTCGCCTGAACCGTCCTCACACTTGATTGAAGAATCGTGCTCTCACCTCAATCGGCGGTGGACAAGCCTCCCTTTAGTAAGCCACCCTTTAGTGAAAACGGCCTAGGACCGAAACCGACGGACCTGGACCCGCAAAAATGACGGCCGCGACGCCCTCACGCGAACCGAAAACGGCCAATTCGCTAATCGACGTGTCAGGGTAGGAGGTTTATCAACCTCCGACTCAATGCCGGCTACATTTGGGGTCTGGGCGGCCACGATCCCTGGTACAAAAAACACTCTGAAGGTGCACATGGCCGTGCTATCACCCCTGTCCCCGCTGCATCGCTTCCTTCTCAGGGCCTCCTGGCCGTCCTTCTCCGACTCCTCGACCCGCCTCTGCACCGTCGCTGCTATTTGGAACCTTCGCTAAGGTAATTTTTGGGCGCGCCGCTGGATGCCCCTGATGAGGGGGGGTCCAGGACCCCCCCCCCCTTCCATCCCCCTTCTCCGCTCCGTCGTCCTGGACCCGCCACTCTCCGGCGCAAAGGAATGGGGGGGGGGGGGGGGGCGAACCGCCCCATCCTTCCTGGAAGGGGGGGAGAAGGGCTCCACGAGCACACCCATTTACGACTACAGTCCACCCGTGATAAGGACGCACGATAAGGATGCAAGGGCCTTTTGAAGGCCATGTCGACACTTTGCGAGCGGGGCGTGGCCAGCGAAAGCGGCCAAAGATGGGCCGAACGGGCAGGATGCAAGGGTCACCCTGGAAAATTGCTCATCCTTACTATGCAAGTCGACTGTGCTCAGACATTTTCTGTTCCTCGAACTCCGTGTCCGGGACTCGGCGGCCCCTCTGCCGGAGCTCGAAGGAGTCCAGGTCCTGCTGCTGGCCGCGGCCCCTCAGCATCTGCTCCTTCAGCGCCAGCACAGTGGCACCCGCGTCCAGCTCGAACGCGTGGCTCCACCTCGGTGGCGACGTCTGGACCCTACCACCACAGACTTAGAAAGCAACTCACACAAGCTTCTTGTCGCCCCCATGGCACCCAATAGGGTGCCCAATCGCGAGTCAAGCGGACATGATGCATCTCCCTCACATGGCGCCACGGAGCGCTATTGGTCGCTTCTTGAACGCTATTTGAGCGATACTGGGCGCTATTAAACGCTATTTGCGGCTATTGAACGCTATTGGGCGCTATTCGCCGGCATCATTAAACTCAAAACGAGCGGAAGCTTACGTGATGTACTCTCTAAACAAGCCCTCGATTCTCCTGAACCCATGGGAGGCGGAGGTAGGGTTCGGATTTCGCCGCGTTTCCGACGAATTCCGAACCCTACCCCCGCAGCCCATCGAGTTGAATCGTCGATCGGCGAGGGTAGGGTTCGTATTGCGTCGCCGATCCACCGCTGCTCCTCCCATTGGAAGCGCACAGTGACGCTCACCATGGCGGGCGGCGGCCAGAAGAAATCAGGACGGTCCCAGATCTCCGTCGATCTGATCTTTGCTCGATCCAGGCGGTGTTCCTCGATTTCGGCCTCTGGGGCCCGTAAGTGAGCCCGGGAGCATCAAACATCGTTTCGGGACGAAAAACTGGCCCAGGGAGAGGTCGGGAGCCCCGGGGCCGCGGATTGCAATGATCAGATCGGAGGATGTCGGGGGTTGGAGGCTTGGAACTTGGCACCAAGACCAACTCAGGCGCTGACATCGGCCGGGGAAACATGACCCTGGATTCTGGTGCTGGTGGTACCGTCAAACTTCGGCCACCCGGGAAGCCCTACCACCATCACCGACATCGGGATCATCATTCCTCCGTCCCTCGGTGGACGCAACCGCCGGTGTTGGTGTTGGCGCCGCTCTCCAGGCCTCCGAGACGGACTTGTTCTGGCATTCTGTAGTCGGGGATCTGCTGACCCGATCCAATCCAAACCCAGGTCAGTGAGGCCTTGCAAGATCCTGCAAGATCCTGCAGGATCCTACAGGCTCCTGCGCCCTAACCCGGGTCAGTGCGCACCTGGCTGTGCAGGATCCTGCAACATCCTGGCTGACCCCCCTTTGCACTGACCCCTGTCTTCGGTATCGTTTAACCGGTACCAGTCCCCATCCCCATCCCCTTCGAGACCCCCACCAAATTACCACCCCAGTTGGGGATACACCCCTCGAAATCCGAAGGAAACGACCTATATCCCAATCTAGGGGGGTAAATCGGCCAGTGGGGCCCAGGCCACGCCGCTGGGGATGGGGATCGGTTAAACGATACTCATGTGTGAAAGCTCCCGATTTAACCTCCGGGGCCCCCCACCGGACCCTGGGACCGTCGAACGGCGATGGGGTCGCCGTGACAAGGTCACGGCGCCAGAGATCTGGGTGGTGCGCGGGCGCCGAGGGCCGCTGCTGTGTCTCGGGGATCAAAGTCTGCTGTGTCGTCTCCGGCGCCCGTGTGCGTTTTGTCGTCGAGGCCTGCTGCTCTGTCAACGTAACCCTGTTTCCGCAGTAAAATCAAACTAGTATATGTGAGTAGTCAAGACTCGCCATGTTTACACATCGTCCACCACGATGCCGACCAACTGTATACGGGATGCTCCTCCATCTCCTGGAGCAACTGCACTATCCAAATTAAACTGTACAGCAATGCCGCCCGCAATTCCACCCCATGTTGGCTCTGGACTGAGCATGTCCCCCCAGACCTTTAGGTTTGACTTCTGTACTTGACGACGGCATCCGCTTAAGGATTCGAACCCCCGCACGCAAGTCCACGGGATATCGATACTCAGCTTTACAGTATAACCACAACTGTAACAAAGGAATGAAACTACTGCCTGATACAATTCACGGATGCCTCTCCCCTTCTCCGTGCTGCCTCCCACCCCGCTTCCATGGGTGCTGCCACCAGTTGCCAAAACGTGTAACGATCGCCACGTCCGTGAGCCCCTCGGGAGTCTTGCGAAATGTGGTGTTGCGGCAGTATTGTGGGGCCACTGATGACACCTTGGCCCCCGCCAAACGCGCAGTCGCCGCAACGTGTGTGAGCTGCCGGGAGGTACAGCGGGGTGCGGCCTCAGGGGGGCCTAGCCAACCCCCCCTCTCCCCAGTGACGGCCAATGACGCAACTGTGGCATCTCTGGGGGAAATTCCTGGGCGGTCCAGCGGAGTGCCGTCGTACGGGGACACGCCGGCAGCAACGCGGCTCAGGATGAACAACTGGTCCTGGGGACAGCCCCGGGGTTTGTAGGGATTGGCAATAAAAGAACCCCAACCCTTTGGGAAGCGACCTAAGTGATGAGGCCCAAGACATTAGGTGTATGGGGGTCCTTTCTGCAGGTGTATCAGACCAAACCGCCCAAGTTTATGATCCCTAAAGCAGAAAACGGGGATCTCAGTGAGGCCGCGTCTTCACGATGTTATCAGGGTTAGGAGTTCTTTGATCCTCGATGATGTAGGAACAGTCTCCCTCAGGATCCCTTTCCTGGGCCACCTAGCCTTGCGCCCCGCGCCTGGCGATGCGCGATGACCTGCGCGCCCCCGCGCCCCCCCCGCCTTGGAGAAGGGCATCCGCCCTGGCCCAGGCCGCGAAGCGCGCGAGGCGCGCGATTCTCTGCGCGCCCCGGCGGGTGACCTGGCTTTTCCTTCGTGGCGATGCGAGGGGATAAGCAATACAAGCAAGAACCTCTAACCCTCTGGGAGGGGACCTAAGTTAAGAGGGCTGGGACAGTAGGGATGGGGATCCTTCCTGCAGGTGTATCCAACCAAACCGCCCAGATGCATTATCCCCAATAAGAAGACGGGGACCCCAGTGATGCCACGTCTTCATCGTGTTATTAAGGTTAGGGACTCTTGTGTTCTCGATGACGAAAAGGCTCCCGGCAAGACTTCTGGGGTGTGGGCCCCCGCAGGCGGCAGGGCACAGCCAGACCCCGATGTCTGCAGGAGTGGGCACCGAAGAGCATCCCTTCGACACGGTTGGGCTTCCAACATTTTGGCACCTGCAGGCCAAGAGGTCGAGAGCTCTGGGGGGGGCCCGTGCTGAAAACATCCCGACGCCGCAGGGTCTAGGTAAGGGTGGAGGGGGCCTTGGAGGCATGAGCTGGTTTCGCCGGCGCTGGTTTCGCCGGCGCTGGTTTCGTCCTGCTGGTTTCACCGACGGCTGGCTTCGCCGGCGCTGGTTTCGCCAACGCTGGATTCGTCCCGCTGGTTCTGGCCAGCTGGTTTCCCCGGCGGCTTGTTTCGCCGGCGCTAGTTTCGCCAGCGCCGGCTTCGCCGACGCCGTCGTCGCCGCGGGCGGGCGGACCCTAGCGGGCGGGTCGGGTCGGGTCGGGTCGGGCGGACCCTGACGGGTGGGTCAGGTCGGGCGGGACATGAAAGTGTGGGGCCCGCTCGACCGAGCACGCGCGAACCCTAACGGGCTGGACGGGTCGGGCGGGCGGACCCTAGCGGGCGGGTCGGCTCGGGTCGGGCGGGCGGACCCTGACAGGCGGGTCGGGTCGGGCGGGCGGGACATTAAAGTGTGGGGCGCGCTCGACCGAGCACGCGCGATTCCTGATGGGCGTGTCGGCTCGGGCGGGTGGGGCCGAATCGGGCGGGCGGACCCTGACGGGCACGTCGGGTCGGGCGGGCGGGACATTCAAAAGTTGGGGCGCGCTCGACCGAACACGCGCGAACCCTGACGGGCGGGTCGGGTCGAGCGGGTGGACCCTAGCGGGCGGGTCATGTCGGGTCGGGCGGGCGGACCCTGACGGGCGGGTCGGGTCGGGCGGGCGGGTCATTAAAATATGGTATGGGGCATGTTCGACCGAGCACGCGCGAATGACGGGCGGGTCGGGTCCGGGGGCCCGGGCGGGTCGGTCGGGGCGGGCGGACCCTGACGGGCGGGTCGGGTCGGGCACACGGATCGAACCGGACCTCACCCTGGGGGGCGGGTCGGGCGGGCAGGACATGAAAGTGTGGGGCCCGCTCGACCGAGCACGCGCGAACCCTAACGGGCTGGTCGGGTCGGGCGGGCGGATCCTAGCGGGCGGGTCGGCTCGGGTCGGGCGGGCGGACCCTGACGGGCGGGTCGGGTCGGGCGGGCGGGACATTAAAGTGTGGGCCACGTTCGACCTAGCACGCGCGAACCCTAACGGTCGGGTCGGGTCGGGCGGGCGGACCCTAACGGGCGGGTCGGGTCGGTCGGGCGGGACATTGAAGGCGCACGCTCGACCGAGCAGGCGCGAACCCTAACGGGCGGGTCGGGTCGGGCGGGCGGACCCTAGCGGGCGGGTCGGGTCGGACAGTTTCGCCGACGGCAGCTGGTTTCGCCGACGGAGCTGGTTTCGCCGGGCGGCGAAACCAGCCGGGCGAAACCAGCGTTCGCCTTAGAGCCGAGGGGACTCTGGATGGTAGACTGTGCTGTGGGCAAGTCTGCGAATTCTGAAGCCTCTGGGAGGGACCGTGGGCGGAGGACCAGAACTGTGTGTGACAAAGGGCCAGGTGCGACTGCCGGATTTGACATGGTTCCTACTTTTCTGCGAAGAGATGATGACCAGAGAAATGCCCCGGCCAATCGTCCGCCTTCGCCAGGCTGACCCCTCCAGCCAAGCCTGGCTGGGGCGATTACTTATTTAGATGAGCAGGTCACTTACATTCGCGGGTCGGGCTCCGCAATGTACGACGCGCAACTATCTTTCGCGGCCCTAGAGGCGGGTGCCTATCTGGTCTGAGCCGCGATGCGCGAGGCGCGTGTGTATACCACCCGTGGGTGGCTTAGGATATACCACTCGGCGGACCAGGGTCTTGCCTTCGCAGATCCGCCCAGATGCGGCGGCATTCCGAGGCTTGGATAACATAATGTTGCTCCCATCGTACTTGAGGTCTCCATCCCATCAACAATTTCGAGCACCCAGAAAAGTGTCGAAAGAGTGTCGAAACAATGTCTCCCAGTGCCCGACACGTGAAAACCCTAGAGTTTCGGTACTTTTTTTCTGGTGCTCGAAATTCTTTCTGGTGATCAAGGCTGAAGTAGGTTGGAACATCATAAGGGTAACATATCACTGGCCCCCCGAGGGGGTAAATTGTGTCCCTTCGATCGCCATGAACGGACAACCTCTGAGATCAAATCGTGCCGCTCGCCCCAGAGACATCATCCGTACGCGTCGGCAGAATCGCGCGGATCCTCGATGTCGAACCGAATCCGTGTGCGGTTCTTCAGACCGTAGATCTTGGCCTCGCTCCTCAACTTCGGGTCCTGCCGGCGGGCGAGGCAGTGCAGCGTGTGCTTACACGGCGGTTTCTGGAAACGTTGGGCATTCCGCCGTTGACCCCTCCTGCAAAAGAGCCCACAATCGAACCGATAGTTCGGATGGGCGATCGGGATGGATAGGATCGGCAAAAACCAGCAGCCAAGTCGGAAAAAGTCGAATCAGCGGAAATCAGCAGGCTAGCAGGCCTCCGTTCAGACATCGAAATCCACATCGGAATCCCAAATCGAATCGAATCGAATCGGAAGCCATTGAAATCGGATAGGAATCGGGCCGGAGGAATCGAAACGATCCCTGTCCTGGGGGCTCAAGCATCGGCTTCTGCTGCATTCCGCCGCATTGCCCTAGAGCTTCCGCCCGCGGGTCCGCCCTCGCTTTACTTCTGCCTGCCACTGCCGAGGGCGACAGGTTAATCTTTCGACCCCTCCAGTGCGAGGCACACATGCGTGCAATAGTTGAGCAAGGACCGACCGTCCTGGCATTCCTGTAGGCCTACCACGACATGTTCCTTTATAATTAAGAACTTCAAAGAAAAACAGTAATGTTCGAACAGCAAAGATGCAAGGTGGTTGCCAGCGCAAGGAACAAAAGGTTCTTGGACCATTCTCTGGTAAGCCTCTGGGCAGATCAGGCCGCTTCGCCACTGTTTCAAGGACTCCTCATAGGGCGCCTCATAGGGCGCCGTACGGCGCCATCTGGGGGCTCCTGCATGGAAAACACACCTAGCGCGAGGAGCACCGCACGGACCGCGGTCTCGGGGCTCACGTCAAATTCGCATGCTGCGGTTGAGCCCCAAACGGTGCTAACCAGCCTCGAGGTTGTCCCTACCCCTAAGATGGACAAGCCCTGAAGTGATGACAACCTTAGGGGTGCGCCCTTAGAAACTGGGGGAACCCTTACGAGCCTCACTGAAATAAGGTGATGCCAATAATAAGGACAAGCGTCTGTTTCAGGCCGGCTCGGTGCGTGCTACAATCAAGCTATTGGTTTAACGAGCGCTTGCTAGGAAAAACGACACGGACTGCAATAAGTTTGGGAGGTGCGCACTGTGCACGACCGATCTTGAAAATGAATCGTTCTCCGTCCGTGCAAGTTCTGGACCTTTGGCGCCCTGTGACCACATTACCAATGCAAATCTCACCTGGGAGACACATGCCGAAAACTCCCAACCTCCACCCGTGAAACTGTTTCAAGCCTCGACTTTTCGGCGAATGCAATGTAGGGAGGCTTCAACGTGGGGTCATGTGTGGAACAAGAGGAGGTGCTGCATCTGAATAGCTGTTACAACCTTCGAAGGTCACCCTGGCACGTTGAGGCGTGCACGGTGCCCAGTGATGTGTGGTGGAACCGCTGTAACCGTCCAACGAGCCCCCCCTCTCGAACCACCCACTCGCTAGCCCCTGTTTGTTTTTCTTCCAGCCGTAAGCAGAGTTGAACAATTAACGCAAGACCTTCTTCTGGGCCGTTTGCATCTGGGCAAGCTTAGAGGAGCCAGAAGGCAGACCTTGCTGCGCTCTCCTCAATTGGCGCTTGCCATATTGATTCAGCTGGGAAATGCATGCTTCCGCTAAATTCCTGACAACTTGGGTGGCCACGCAGCCACATGACAGACAAACCGTGCTCCCGAACTCCTTGTGCTAGGCCAAGGTGTGGGAGCTATGCAAGTCTGTGCCATTGACTGCGCACTCAGCGGGCACCATAATCAACCCTTGAAATAAGCCCTGGTGGCACGGGGTCCCCAAGAACTTGTCCGCCAACTTGCGTGGCGCGCATCCTCCACAGCAAAGACAGCGGACCTGGGAACATATCCCCCACGCAGGCTGGCGAGCAGTCAGCAGCAGTTGGATCTTGATATCCCGCCTCTTGGGCCACAAAACGGCCTCTTTGGCCACGCGGTTCCCGTCGGCTTCGATCGGTGCGAAATGACTGTGGCCGAGGTGCGTGCTGGCGAACCTGGAAGGCAATCGCTTGGGCATGGGACCTGCTGCCTCTACCAGCAGCAGACGCACGAACATTCCCAGCCCACCGGTTCGCAGTGCGGTCAGCCAGATCATTCTACAGGAAAAAACAATGGGTCGGTTTCCAGGCCGCTGATGTGTTCAACCTTCCTCTGGCTCGTTACTTTGGCAAGCGCGACTCCTTTGACACTCTGTCGCGCATCTAGGTGAGACTTCGGAAACATCCCGAGGCGAACTTGATTATGATCCTTCGTAACACGTAGAATCTGTCACGCAGAAGCCATCTGCAACAGGGATGTCAGCCCTCAATACCTGCAAGAAACTCATCGCTTCCCCCATGTTGACCGACTGGTGCCATCCAGGTACAATGCCAAAACTCACTGCACGGGCCTGGAGCTCTCCGGGGTCATGCTGCCCACCCGCTCGGGGGCCCCCGAACGCAGCCCCAGACAGGGCCACCCTGCGGAGGGCGGGGCCCTGAATGTCAGGCCCCCCACTGGCGCCTCCTCCTCCGAACTAAAAGCAGCCCACCTTGGCCTCCCTAAGCCCCCCCCCCCCCCCCCCCCCCCCCCCCCCGCAAGCCCGGGGCCCCTCGCCCTCGGGGGGGGGGGGGGGGGAGCGCGGCGGCCCAGCTGCTCGGCTTCGGCCCCCGCAGCTAGATGCTTTGAGTACTCTCCCAGTCTGCCAGGGCCCACCTGCTCACGAAGTCTGACCTTGGAGAACTCACCATTCTTAGGACAGCTCCAGGCACGGCGCACGTCACGCCCAGCCAACTCACCACATCTCTTACAGGAGCTGTCCTGGGTGGGACCGCATTTTGGGAGCCTCGCGCGTGACCATCTGTTCCGAGTAGCCGCTGTCCGCAATATTCCTCTCCATTCGCGCCTGCCTTTCTTGGCCAGCGACCTCAACTGAAATTTGAAATCGCACAGGTCTGGCACTCGCTCCAAGCCTGACCGGGTCCACGAGTTGGCTGCAGCGGCCCCCCAGAGCTCTCGTTCCTTGCTTTCGGCCAGGCCCCCGAAACGAACGGAGAGGCCAACCTCGCCCCGCTCGGGCTTGGTTTCTGAGATCGCGAATCGCTCGCCCAGACCACTCCCCCAAGCCCTGGGCCCCAAAGGCTTCCAACCGACATCCAGCAGGAGCGATCGCGGCGGCCGCTGGGGCGCCTGCGCTGCGCCATCCGTTGCCCGCTGTCTTGGGTTCTAACTCTGCTGCAACTCAACGCCAGACTCGCCTCGTCTTCTCGGCGTCGAAGCTAACGCGGGTTAGCATCTGAAACCAAGCCTCGACTGCATAACGCATCGCAAGGAAGCCTGGGTCTCGTCGACCGCACTCAAGTGCTAAAAGCGTGGTCAGGCACCGACCCCCCTTAGAGACCCCTCTAGCAAGCCTGCCCAACGCTCTACGCCAACCAGGGACAACGCTGGGAGGGGTGCCATGGACCTTGTCTGAATATCTAGCTTTGGACAAAGCCGAAGTCAAAGCCATCTTCCGCGCCAATTTCTCGCACGGCCTGTTGCCTTTAGCCAGCTTGCCTAGCCTCTACAACCTACGGTTGGCCCCAGCCTTCCCGCTGGCCTGCTTGGGTCGCGAAGCCGTGGCCTGGCCACGGTCCATGCCCAGATCCGCTGCTACTCGCTCGGCATGCGCGCCGATGCCTTGCCCGCTGAAGAAATCCTCGAGTCTCACGTCCAACGCCCAAGACGAGGAGACGATGGCCGCTTCTGGAGCAATCTGCAACTGCATGCAGGACCAGCGAAAATCCTAAATCCGCCAGCCTCTCTAAAAAAAACGGATGGCCAGATGGGCCTGGAGCTCCAGGGCCAGATAGCACGGGGGAAACTCCAGTTCCACAGCGTGGTCCAGAACCAGGCCCCAGCGAAGACTACCATAGAATCCGTTCACTTCCCAGAGCAAGCTAGCACTCTGATGGTCAGGCAGAGAAGAGCGCGCCGCTAGCTCATCTTTGAACACTCTCAAGGAAGGCAACTTGCAATGCGGAGCGGCCCGCGAGGGCCGTGCCCCGCGGCTCCGCCCGCTCCTTCGCCCAGCTCGCTCGGTCCGAGGCACGCGGCCGCCCCCGAAAACGGGCAACCCAAGCCAGCAGGCCTATCGCTCGGTCGGAATCCTGGTCTTTGACTAGGACCATGACAAGCACCGCTAGGGCTTGCCATAGCAAACGCACTTCCTGCCCAACATGCGCATAGACTGCAGGCCCAGCGGCGCCTGCCACTGGACATCATTCTGAGACGGCCCACCTGCACCTGGAGCTTTGCCAGGCAAGGCCGAGATGTCCCCGCGGAGCCAATCGGCTCCCAGCGGGGGCCGCGGGTTCACATTTGCCTTCGCCTGGGCCTTGCGCCAAGGGCCCGAGCATCGGGGAAACTAGAGCTGCCCCCTTCCCACTTGCCTGCCCAGATCTTGGCCTTGACAGCCGTTCTCCGGCAGGAGTCCGAAGCCGTCTCCCCGCCAGCCCGAGCCGCCCCGAAATGCGCCGATGTGTCTGTGATGCGGCGGTGTAGGCCACGGCCTCCAGCCTGGCCCTGCTGCGTGACCCACCGAGGATTAATCGGGGCCGCACGTTGGGCCCGCGCCGAGTTCTGCCTCGCACCTGCTTCAAAATCCCTGGCTGTCTGGTCGGCAGCTCCTCTGGGAACACGCAGGCCTCGAACCGGTCCGAGCGAATCTCATCAGTTAATGGCAAGAGTGGCGCGACTGGCGCAGTCGAGACCATGCCCCTAATTCTATCAAGAAGCCTGCCGGGCCCGCGCTGCGATCCGCCCCCACGGAAGCCGACCAGGTCCGCAAGTAGAAACAGCCCAGGGCAGCCCGCCCAGTGGGCCACGGGACCCCTGGAAGAAACAACGTGGGCCCCCTGGGCCCCAGGTCACTTTTGGAGCTCACGCAGTTCAGCTCGGCCTTCACATCTATGCTGGTCTCTGGGGTGCACTTCAAGCGTGGCGCAGAAAAAACTTCCAACCGCGGGGCCCATCTGGCAGAAGTGGAACCGACCCTCGTCTCCCCAG